GCTTAACAGGGACAGTGTTAGCCTAATGGACATAACATGAGGCAACAAGGTTTGACAGCCTTCTCAAGTGCACATTATTTCAATTCAGCCTAATTGAGTTCTAGCATATTTCTGACATGAATAAAATACAGGCAAGGGTCTTTTGAAAAAAAAATCAGAATGTCATCTATGTCAGGGCTTTTCAACCAGTGGTATGGGTACCACCTGTGGTACATTGGCACATACGCGACCATCTTAGAAAAGTGGTAGCGGGGGAGGGGAATGAGCTGAACCAGTGGTAGCACCGCACAAGCTTGAGCGAGAAATGGCTGGAGCTGCAGGGCTGTCAGGGCTCAGTGGAAGCACCAGGATCAGCACCAGGCTCCAGCTGGAGCTCAGCGCTGATTCTGGCACTTCTGCTGAGCCCTGAAGAAGCACCAATCAGCTGGAATGTTGCCTTATCTCCAGGATCTTGTGATTTACATTCAGATGCGTGGCAACTGATTTATATTTATGATGGTCACAGTGTCCCAGGGTCATGCAAAGTGACCAAAACCTGCTGCAACCACCCATCAGACGGGGGGGGGGAATAAAAACCAAACACCCCCACTGCCAATCCTCAACAGAAATGCTCACAACAATGTAAACCTCAGAGAGGAGGAAGAGCGCCACTAGGTGGGCAGGCAGGTGTCTTGCTCGGCTGTGGCTTGGGGGGCACTTTTTTCAGTGCCATTGTAACTTCAAACAGTCACTAAGCGAACTGTACTACCTGTACTTCATCACTTTTTTTTCCTTTTTTTTTTGTCATCAAGTTTTTGATACCTTGCTAGGCGACTGGCGGTACTCAGATATTGCCGTATCCTAAAAGTGGTACAATGGGTGAAAAGGTTGAAAAGCCCTGCTCTACGTAAGCTATAATCTGGCAAATGAATCTGGCAAAAATTGTGGCACAATTAGAAAGTCCTAAAAGCATTTTGTGTATTCAGACATCACATAATACCAAAGACTGTTAAGTGTTCATGATTCTCTTTCATCCCAATCAAGCTGCAATTTCAATAGAATGAAATGTGTCTTCTTAAAGTAACCTACCAGGTCCAAAATAAGAGGCAGTGGGTTACTAACCCTTAATGGTTCAGAAGTCTATCATGCATAACTCTCAAGGGAGCTTTACAAAAAACGTTGGCAGAGATCCAGGAGACAAAGGATGGAAAATAAATCCTTTTGCTAGAATGTCACCCAGAAATTCCAGTAAACTGCCAATTCTTTCACAGACATGGGATATTGCTGTTCAACTAGGATCTAGACTCCAGGCAGTAAGTTAATTTCACAATCAACACATTTGGTGGCGTGGCAAGGTCATCACTTCCTGCCTGTCCAAAAATCAGCAGAATCTGTATATTTTCCATCCAAGGAAGGAGGTTTGGGCTGCTGTGTGGCAAGAACAGGAGGAAAGTCCAAGGCCTGGAAATGCTGCAGCTTATAGCACTGAGAAGGAAAAGAAATTGCCCAGTGTTCCAAGTAATACCAGGATTGTGCATTTGTAGCTAGTCTATTCCCAAGATAATCAAACCGTGCAAGGAGGCGGGCAAGTATGGTTGGAAGAATTCTTTGTTGTCATTTATTTTCACTTGCATAGGAGTTCTGTGTTGTAGGATGGGACCTGATCAGAAGGGTCTGCCCTAATTCCTCACCACTTGCAGCTGTATGGGCAAGATGAACTGACTCACAATATCTTCATTAATCAAAATAGTAGCCAAACCCAAGTCCAAAAGAGCTGAGAGGCACATCCTGAGTCCCATTGCTTAAGCAGGATCATCTTGTGGAGTCTGGGAAGCGTGCTTGGCCTGCTGCTGTGCCTGCTTTCTGGGATGATATTTTTCCCCCAGAGATCCAGATGGCTCCCACCCTAATGACATTCAGAAAACCGTTAAAGATCTGGCTGTGCTCCCAGGCTCTGGGGCAAAGAGAAAGTTGAGCTCCTATTAGATGTATTTTCTTTAATTTTCTATCGTTTCTAGGGCCATTTATTTTTTTTGAGGGGGGGGGAGGTTGCAATTTCTACTTTACTTTTTATAGATAGTTTTTATTTAAAAAATTTAAACAAGAAGATAAAGGCTAACACAAACTAATAGGAAGAAAAAAAGAAAGAAATCAAAGAATAAGTCAAAGGAAAAAAGGTAAAGAAAAATAGGAGAAAGAGGCTTGTGATACTCTTCGCAGCAATTTTAACCTCTCCCTCTCTCTAAAGTCACATCATATTATTCTTTTTTCTATAATCTATTCTACTTTATTTTTATTTTTAACTGCAAACCACCCAAAATTGTTAGGAATTGGGCAATCTATAAATTATATATAAATGAAATAATAAAAACAGTACAAATATTAATGGGAATAATAAAATGCCTAGTGTTGGGGCTTCCTTATTTGTCTGAAGGCCTCCTTACAGAGGTCTTAGGTGGGGGCGGTGTGTGTGTGTGTGCTACTGCAAAGTTTCCTGGTATCAAGGCTTTGGAACAATTTGAAAACTTACTGACAAGGTGACCAAAATCTCCATATCTTCTAGCTGCCAGGTGGGCAATCCACTAAGCAGGGGTAGGCAACTTTGGCTCTTTTATGACTCATGGACCTCAACTCCCAGAATTCCTGAGCCAGCATAGCTCATAAAAGAGCCAAGGTTGCCTACCCCTGTGGTAGACCTTGAATTATAATGGCATCTGGGACGGGAATTTCTGTCGTTAAATGGCGCAGCTATAAAGCATGATGTCATGTGACCGCATTGCATAGCAACAGCAATCCCTACAATTCCTTTTGCCATCGTTAAGCGGGGAATGCGGGTCATTAAGTGAGCACCTCCTCACAATTAGCTGTTGGCTTCTGAAAAGCAAAGTAAGTGGAGAGACCAGGTAACCTTCCCTGCAAGCTACCTTGCAAGCTTCCTCACTGAGTGCTTGTGCAAAGCCAGCAGGGAAGGTTGCAAATCACGATCATGTGACTGCTGGATGTTGCAACCACCATAAATGCCAGCTGGTTGCCAAGCACCCAGCTCATGCGAGTGACTGCAGGGGTGCTGTGACAGTCGGAGTTTCTTTCTTTTTTTTTTTAAACAACTTTTATTAAATTTTTCAGTTTTTACATCCAGGTAATTAGGAAGCAGCATGGTGACAGGGTAATCAATAGTCCAATAACGAAATCATTCATATATCTGTCAGGTTACATCGTTAAAATTCCCTCTCTATTTCCCTTTATTATTATATCGTATTCAAATTAATACATTTCTAGGTAAAGCTCAATCAATCAATAGAATTGTCAATAACATTTTACTTATACATATCCAAGTCTTGTTTTTAGGTTTTACTTAATTCCATTTACCATGTTCCAATTTAGCCTTTAATAACCATAATATTTAGACTTCGAGTAACCCTAATTTTCCTTATTTCATTACAAAATAATTATCATGTGTAGAATACATATATTATTCCAAAAATTATGTTCTTACTTTCTTTCATAGATATATTCTATTTCTCATCCTGGTAGGTCCTCATTAACTAATAAAATATCTTTCATAGGTCAGTCTGAATTTCAAGGACGGTCGTAACCATCACTCATTCAGTGTTGTTGTAACTTTGAATGGACTTTTCTATCTTTTTTTCTTTTTTCCTTTTCTTATTTACTAATCACTCTTCTTTTACTTTACTTTTACTTTCCTTGTTTATAATTTGTATTGCTTTTATTTTGCAAAAAAAAATAACATTGATTTAAAAGAATGCAGCTTTATCTCTCTTTTTTTTTTTCAAATTTCCAGGAGGGTCTAAAAAAGACATGCCTATTTAGCAAGAAGTCCTTTGCTTCCATATGTTACAAAGCATTTTTTTTTTCAGATCATTTTCAGAGCATATCTAGTGTTAAAATACATCCCTCGGTAGGCAATTCGAGAAATTATAAGGTCATTGCCAAACAAAATCTTCTGCTATATTTGCTTTAATAAATCCTAAGGACTTGCAGATATGGTCTCAGTGGCTAATGCCTGATGAGTCAATAACCATTCAAACAGTTCTTGAAATATCTATTTCAAATACCTTAGGTCTTGACTAGAATCATAGAAGTTATCTGATCTCTGGGATCAAGCAAGGAGACAGAAATGAGGGCTCTAAGGCACTATAACAAGAAAGAAAATAAAGCATAATAAATAATTAAAGCTCCCCTCTCTCACACACACACATACACACACTCCATTTTTGCCAGAGCATTCCTATGAGAAACATTGAAGGACAATATAGACTTTTTCATGGTAAACAGGAAAGGCCAATTACAAACAGCTGCTTCACAAAGTCAACTCAGAAATAAAGAAGGGCATAGATATCTACCTACACACCATGATAGCAACTAAATAAGGAACAGACCCCAAATCACCATCCCACACAATTACATCAGCAGTTTACTATGGAGTTGCTGCTCTATATTAAGTCTTATAGCTTGCTGATTTAGTAGGAAGAATCAATCAAAGGTAATGAAGGTCAAAGTTAATTGAAGAAGTTTCTAGAAATAGATATCAGATGACAACACATGGTACACTGTACCAAATCTAAGTAAAACCAGAGTATTACGAATAAAGTGAAGCAGCCTGTAATTATCTCCATCTTTAAGGACTTATTGGTAAAGGGCAAGACCACAAAACAAATCAGCCTGGTGTTCTGGGAAATGCTAGGCAACCTCCCAAACTTAAAGTGCATGAGTTTCTATTAAGAAGGCAAGCCAATTAAACTTAGAAATGCCAAGAAAAAGCAACATAAGGCACCATTACAAGGAAGGAGTTGAGGCCGAGGCACAGGGTGATGCCAGAACTGAGCACAATCACCCCATTTTTGTTCTTGTTGAACTTGGAAGACCTCGCAGAGAGCAAAACATCAAATCAAACCAAAAGGATTTCCAATTAGCACAGATAAATGATGTGCATGCATCTGTCAATTACAAAATGGTTTTAGACATAGGAACCTGAGGCTCTCCAGATACTGGTCACCTACCAGAATTGCTTAACTTGTAGAATAATCCTAAAGCACTGGTATTGGGTCTGCAGTTGTGTGTGGCCTGCAAAGGCATTTTCGGCAGCCCTCAGTCCTCTTTTCAGAGTTGGATGATGATGAGTTTGGTGCATTCACCACTGGCAACTGCCTACAAAGTCCCTGCAGTTTTCTTGGCAAGATTTCAGAAGTAGTTTTCTATTATATACCTAGAACAAAGGAGAAATTTCCTGATGGAACCATAAACCAGTGGAATGGCTTGCATTCGGAAGCTGTGGGTGCTCTATCACTGGAGGCTTTTAAAAAGAGACTGGACAGCCATTTTTCTGAAATAATATAGGGTCTCTTGCTTGAGCCGGGGGTTGGACTAGACGACCCCCCCCCCAAGGTCCCTTCCAACTCTGTTATTCTGCTATTCTGTTATTTATTGCTCCCTTCCTAGAGCTAAGAGAGAGCAACTGGAACAAGTTCACCCAGATGTTTTGTGCTTAAGGCAGGACAAGAACACATGATCTCTTGGTGCTTTAACTGACACACCAAACTGACTCTCAGCTGATTTTAGTAGGTTAAAGTTAAATTGAATGATTTACAATTGGTTATGGGGGAATATATTGTTCAACTTACTAAAAATAATGGATGTTTTAAAGTACAGCCTTTACTCTAAATATGCCCATTTTCTGCTATAAAGTGATTATTTTCACAATGAAGAACCAATTTTTATTGGGAACAAACATTATTCTAAATTGACCAGCCCAAAACAAGGAGTTTTGCAGAAAGGATCATTATTCTCTATATTTTCAGCAATTCCACTGCTAATGATGTGTCATTTGGACTCTTTTCTATCCAGCTGACACAATTCAGCCAAACTGAAGGACTGGCCTTTTACTGTCCATCTCAAATATTAAACCCACAGGTCTATTTTATATAAAACACTAAAACTTTGATTGTGGCTTAATATGTTGTGCAAATCCTTACTGCAGTTTATTCAATGAATCATTATTGAAATCGTACTTGAGCAATGTGTGAACCAAATTAAAGATTAGGTAGGGTTTACTTCTAGGAATTTTGAATAGGATTAACAGAGTAAAACAAACTGAAAATACATTTTGCCCTTTTCCTCTAATGTAACATTTTAATGATCACAAATATATTTGAATACAGGCAATCCTCGACTTATGCCCACAACTGAGTCCAAAATTTCTGGTGCTAAGGGAGAGATTTGTTAAGTGAGTTTTACCCCATTTTACGACCTTTCTTGCCACAGTTGTTAAGTGACACTGCAGTTAAGTAACACTGCAGATAATAACACAGCTGTTAAGAGAATCTGGCTTCCCCATTGACTTTGCTTCTCAAAAGGTCACAAAACGGGATCACATGAACTCGGGAACATTACAACCGTCATAACTAGGAGTCAGTTGTCAAGCACCTCAATCTTGATCACATGACCACGGGGATGCTGCAAATGGTTGTAAGTGTGAAAAATGGTCATAAGTCCATTGTTCAGTGCCATTGTAACTTTGAACGCTCAGTAAATGAACTGTTTTAAGTCAAGGACTACTTGTAGAGCAAATCAATTTATTGAAAGACAAAAATAACATTAAATCATTATATATCAACATAAATAAGGTATTTTCATGAAGCACCTATAGTTTTAACAAACAAAGTAATGAGGAGTGACATTGTCTTAAATTTTTTCAAATATCTTCAAGTAGTTTTGAATTTGAAAATCCCTGAGATGATATTTAGGGACCTTCAGTGGTCCTTGGGCCACATTTTAAGAAACAGTATCTAGAACAACCTAACCTCACCCTCAGTGCACAATTCAATTCATATTTTCGAACTTAAAACAGCAAAGCCTGAAGGACTGGACTAATATACTTGCAACACCTTCTGTAAGGTACATGGCTGCCTTCTTTCACTTTTATGGAAAGACATATTTCCTCTGAGAGTTTCACAATAGATACAAATAAAGCAAAATATTTCATTTAAGGTAAGCAGTATTGTACTCAAAAAGGAAAAAGTGATGAATTACCACAAGGATTCTATCTGCATTGTTTCATAGCCATTTTCCACTTGTTCTGACATATTTCCAAGTGCTTTCCACTAATAAGGAAAAACTTCCTGATGGTAAGAGCTGTACAATAGGGGATTAAAACACAGATAGAAGCTCTGTGTTCTCCATTTCTGGAGATTTTTTAGAAAGAGACAAGACAACCATACCTCATGGATGATTTAATTGGTCCCTCCCAACTGTATATTTCTGTGATTATATAATTCTATGCCATGTGCAAATGCTAAGAGATTAAATCAGTTTTTTTTAACCTGGCATATTCCAGATAAAACATTTTTTTCCATTTTCTCTGCAAAGTTATAGTCCTGGTATAACTGCAATACATCAGGAGGGAGAAAGCAGACTGAATAAAAAAATCAGAAACGGCAGGGCTGACTACTCCCCCCACTCTTTCTAAGCCAATTGTTTTGTCAGTCAATTCTTATTTCAGCATTGACAATGGCTTAGGATGCTCTATCATACCTGAAGAATTATTTATTTATTTATGGGCTTATATAGCCACCTATCTCACATGACGACTCTAGGAGGCTCACAACAATCCATTAAAAATAGCTAAAAACAAAATTACTCTTACCCCCCCCCCAGGCACCAAGACCAATCATCTTTACGAGAGGGTTTATCATCTGACATTCAGAGGCTGCAAACCTTGGTGTCCCAAGATTTATTTTTTTTAAAGAGCAGATTCCGCAGTCTGAAAAAATTTGGGAAACCTATGTTTAAGGGGATGAAGAAACAGGCTGTGTGGTATACATAGCTCTGTCTTCCAAGAACATAATAGTTGTGTGGGGTAAAGATCATCTTGGGAACTACCATTATGTCCCCACCTCCGGTGACTATTGCCTATTTCTTACCTAATTGTAGGGTTGATTTACAAGCAGAAGCAAAAATATATGACATGATATAGGTAAACCTGCCATAAAGAACTTTTTAATAGTGTTCTTTCTCCAGGAACAAGAAGTGATTGTAGTGTTAGACTCTTCATGAACTTGCATGACTGAACTTTAAACAGACAGAGGCAAAAATGATTCCCCCCCCCCTCAGATTAAGACCATAAAAGTTCTAACGTATACTTAAAGCTGCCCCCCTTTTTTTCTGGAGAAATCAGGGTCTATGCTAGAAAAATGAATTTTTGTAAAAGGGTGGAAAAAGTGGTTAAGTGTCCTTTCAAGATACTTTTTTTTATCCTATTTCACCTCCTCCCCAGCTCTAAGCAGCACATCGGAATGCCTCTGACAGCCACCAGTGGAATACAGAACAAACATGCTTAATTGGGTGTCTTTCCTTGTTACTCACATTTCATCCATGGCAAGTCTGGCAAACTGCAAAGCCCACAATGCTGTGATGGGGGCGTAATGTGTGGGCTGAAACTGTAAAAGTTGCTTTCAGTGCAGGGGTTTTAAAAATGCATGTGCAAGACTTTATTTTGCCTTGGTTAACACGCCTACCAAGGTATGCTGTTGAGTCAAATAGGTACAGCATTGGGACTGGCACCCCTTGATTATCAGCGACCCCCCACTCACTCTTGGAGGCTTGGTCACAATCCAGTCAAAACTAGTATCATTATTATATGTCATGCATGTATATAAGAACTCAGACTGCCTGTTATCTTGCAGAGTACAAGAAGAGAGATCCCAATCCTCAGTAGATTGCAACTTAAAATCGCTCCCTAAGAAACATGCAAGTTAAAATCTGAGATGAGGAAAGAAAAACATTGGAGAGAAAAAGGAGTTGAGGCTGATATATGTAATTTTCAAAGGTATGCGCTTAGGCTGAGTTACAGGAGGACAGGAGGATATGGCGGGGAATATGTTCCCACTCAGGTCTGAGGACCATTCCTGCCAAATCAAGTTTTCTGTTGTATTGTTGAAGATACCTGTTCTTCTGTAGTAATGAAATGTAGCACCTGAGCTTTTAAATAAAATGGAGTGTTGGAGCTATTCTTAAAATAATTTGCTTCCTGAAATGTGATCACGCTGATACCAATAATCATGGTCTTCACAAAAGAATACAATTGCTTCTGAAAGGAATAGTGTTTCCTATATTTATTTAAAGAGTTTTACTGAAATGCAGCTGTAAAATATTATGCAAATCCAACTGCACTAGTAAATCATTGCTTATAGATAAATATGTTATTTGAACCCAGTCAAATATGACTTATTTTAGAAAATGTTGCTTAACTCTGGCTTATTGTATGGTATAACCCTAAAAAATGTGACTTACTCATCCAACTAGGTTGAAAACAAACTATATATTGTGTACACTTGAAAAAAAGAAAAAGAAAAAGCAGAGAGGGGGGCAGCTGTCTAGCTGGACTTACCCAAACCTTGAAGTATAATGGGATAGAAAGTAAGATGTCTACTCTTGTTTTTATAAATCTGTTGCTTATAACTTGTAGCTATGTAAAAATAAAATAGTTTGTTATCGCCGGCATGCATGTGTGGATTTATTAGATTTTAGTATTTGGGGTTTTACTTCCATAGGCTGTCTGGAGTCACTTTGAGTTGGGCAGCCATATGTATATTTTGTTAATAAATAAATAATAAATAAAACTTGTCAATACTTTTTTATTATAAGGAATTAAACAAGGCAAATTCACTTCCCATCACTCTAGGAAATGGGAACACATAAGGGTATTGTTGGCAGTAACACATTATTTCTTTTGATAGATAAGAACTGCTGAATCAAGATGGAGGGAATACTCCAAGCTGAAAGTACAGTAACCTTAAAAGTTGCTCATCAAAACAGAATAGCCATATTTGGTTCAACAGTTACAAGAAATAAAAGCTAGCTTGGAGGCAGCAGTATAAAGATTATACCAAAGTAGAAACTAAGGAGATCCATATGGTAGATGAATTGGCTTTTTTAAAACTGAGATTTATTTTTTCCTTCAGAATTCCATAGGGATGAGAAAAAGATCTAAAATAGGATCTTTCTTTTTCAAATAAAACATCATGTACACCAACGCTGTGTTATGTGTACCACCACTGGTGGTGCTTAGGATTGCCCTAGATAAGATGTAATTCTCTACTCCAAATCTGTGCTCAGGAGAGAGAAGAGAGAAAACAAAGAGCAATGGAGAAAACAATCTCCAAACCAAGCATTCTGAAGCAGTACCAATCAGGAACAATCAGAATGGCATTTCCCAAAATACTTACAGGAAAAGACTCTTGTTATTGACAGGTGTCCATGGGGTGAAGTTTTAAAAGACAAGACAGCAACAATATTGGAGCCCTCTCTTTTTTATGTGCGTCACACTTTTTGATGGTCCCTTTTCTGTGGGGCAGGCACGAGAAAGAGGTTAGGACTTGGGAACAGCTGGTGATCAGAGAGAGAAGTGGTGCCATCTATGAGTTATTGTTCAGATTTGGGTAGCTATCATATTTGAATTGTATGGAGGTTATCATTAGGCTGAGACACAGTTCTTTGCAATATGCAACTCTGTTGTAAACAGATCTTTGATTTTCTTTTAAATTAGAAGCTAGTTGGTGAAATAGAATCACAAACTTTTCCCCCATGAATTAACATCACATCCCTCTTAGTGATGAAATCATTTATTATTCCAAGTTTTAGTTACAGCAGGATTGTTAAATTATCACTGCATTTACAAATTGCAATTCATAAATATAATAACATAATGCTAGTTATCATAAAATATATATTTCTTGGAAAAAGGCAAGCTTTTTATTTCTACCCTGGTGGCATTCTTGACAGCATTATTGATGAGACCTAAGAAACAAAAGGGTCAAGAGCCACTGATGCAAATATCTGTTCTCTCACCAAAGGTGGAATGACTCTGAAACAAAGTGGACTGAGAACCCTCTGCTTTATTCCGAAATCATCGCTAGTGTAAAATATGAAGGAAAGTGGAATTAACCAGGTGGTGGTTGCAATAGAGCAGTACTGTATAATTTATCCCCCCCCCCAGTATCAAAAATCAGTGCAAGAGTAACAAAGGAAGAGAGTGGGACAATGTGTCTATGTTTCAGAAGCTTAAGGCAGGAATGCATATATACCCCAAGAAACAGATTCCATCAAAGGATCACTTTACCAAGACAATCTGAACAGAACTTTCACTGAGCTTCATAGAAATGTGCTTGACTTCTTTTGTTATTTAGTAGAAAATGCAACAGAAGTGTAGTAAATCTATGTGGTTTTCTAGATGAAGAGAAGTTCACCAAAGGAAAATATGTAGGTATAGATAGATAGGATTAAAAGATTTGATCAATTCTATACAGTAAAAGAGCTTGCGTGTCTACAAAGGAAAGAAACTTGCTTCACAAGGTACAAATAGCAAATGTTAATGATAGTGCCTGAGGTGATTTTTTTTTTCCTTCTGGAATGCAACTCCGGTACTATACCTTGAGATTCTTTGTATATTTGCCTTGCTTATGTTAACAAAATGCTATTGATTTAAAAAAACATTATTTTACTTTTTCTAAATTGTGGACTGCCCAAAGTCATGTATATGAATTGGGTAGCCTATGAATTTACTAGATAAATAAATACTCTAAGTGATGGAAGGCTAGGATTTGGATAATTGCAGTTCAAATTTTAATTTGTATTTTGACAGCAACATGAAAGAAAGTGATCCATGCAGCATTTATTTGAATTTCACCATGAGCACACTACTAAAAGAAAATTACCTTCAGTTAAACCAAAAAAAAAAAAGTACATTCCTGCTTTTGATCTTCTTGATTTTTATACGCCTGCTCTATTCCCTGTTATACAATCCTCATACTTTCTTTATATGTCCAAAGGCTGTTGGGGTATATTTTGGATGAAGAGTTGGTTAGATGCAAAGATGTACTATGGACAAGACTGGAGCCAAATGTAGACTTCTCATATTTGAGCCCTCCCCCCAAATAAGTCTTAAAAAATGGTCTTTTTCCTTCTTTTGAAGATACAGATCAACAACGTATGATTTAAATACTGTGGGGAAGAAGTTTCATGGCAAACTATATAGGTGGAGAATGCAACTATGCAACAGGTCTATCTTTTAATTCCCTCCACAGTATCAAAGAAAATTGGGAATAGAAGTCTCAATATGACAAATGTAAAACAAGAATGACCACGAGCAGCTGACACACTCTAATTTCAGCCTGGGAGATCTGGGTTGACGTTTTTTTGCCACACACGTATAGCTAAGATTCATGGGACAGCAGGATTTAAGCCCTATTAATAAAAGCAAATAAAACAGGAATGACAAAGCCACAGCTACTCAGGCAACCCATAAATCACTTGTGAACAAAACCTGTGTTTTGTTCAGGTAACTTCTTTTGATTGTGCTTCTGATCCAGAGTGCTGGAGAAAGCAATCAGTGATCTGATTCCATTGGGAACATCTTGCTTTCCCAACCAAAAGGGAAAGGTATTTTCAGAATAATTCAGCACAGATATATGGTAAACTTTGCACAAAAGCTCAGGCCTTAAATAAAACTGTTAATTTCAAAAGGCTCACAAGAATAGAACAGAATAGAACAGAACAGAATAGGAGCCAGGAGGGACCTTGGAGGTCTTCTAGTCCAGCCCCCTGCTCAAGCAGGAGAACCTAAATTTGGATTCTTTCCAAATTGCAGCACAGACATTGAATTAAAAAGTTTCTATACTAGTCAAGTGGCAATTTATTGAAGGCTTGTGCATTCTGAGAAATTGAGTAAAACTATAAGGAAAGAACAGAACAAATAGAAGTAATGCTCCCCTATCTAATTGAAAAATAGACGTATTTTTTTTTTCTGGAAGGCAGCTCCACCACTATAATTGGGAGATCTGAGTGTTCACTTTGTACAACTGCACACAGTACAGCAATGATGTTGCAGCACTACATGAGTTTCTGAGTTCGATCAAGCATGAAGGGTCCACATATTCCCCGGCTCTCCCTCGGGCAGCCAGTGGGGGTTCAGCGCTTCTCCTCCTTTTCTAACCTCCAAATCGTACCATCACCTGGGACACTAACCGATCCTCGAACGATCACGCGGTGTGGAGTTTTCGGTTTGAAAATCTCCGAATAAATTGGCGATGGGAAATTTGCCACGACAGAGAGGCTTCACTTTTGACAGGACACGCGGCTGCGATTTCTCCGGAGAGCGAGAGGAGAGGAGGCAGAACTGCAGGACTTCGGTAACTGACGCCTCGACCTGGAGGGCAGAGGCGGGTTGCCTGGCTTTTGGGGAAGGAAGTGTCGGGATTCGAATAGGGAAAGAGCACGGCGGCTCAAGACTTCCCCGCCCCCCCCCGCCCCCCGAAGAAAAGGATGGGAAGAAGCCGGTACCTGTTTTGCCCACGGCGCCCTGTCCCAGCACCACCAGCCTGAGAGTCCGTGCGGGGGTCAAGCTGACGGCTCTGCGCAGCGGCCGCGGGAAACTCATGGCCAGGGCGGCGCTCGACGGCTCGCAGGACGCGTGAGGGGATACAGCTGCTCGCTGCCACCGGGAACCCCATCCACCGCCCGGGCTCCGGAGCTCAAGCCACTCGGCACTGGGGCGTCGACGGCTGTGTGAGGAGGGGGCGTGGAGCTCCGCCCAAGAGGGGCTGAGCAGCGCCGTCGGCTCCTCCTGGGATCGCGTAACCCAGTTCTGGGGCCGCCGACCCCGCCCCTCGCACGCGAGAGAGGCTAAGGCGCACAGAAAAGCGAGGGGGGGGAGCGGGGGAGAACCACGGCGGTCGGACGAGCCCCGCTGCAGCGCCCTCAAACTAGCCCTCAAACTCATTCGCCACGGCAAGCAGGAGGGAAGCTGGCACTGGCTGCGCCCTCCTCAGTCGCCGCTTCTGGGCATTAGATTAGTGGGGGCGCGTGACCTCCGCACAAAGTGTGTGTGTGCAGGAGTGGGGGTTACTGCCGCTGTTGCTCCGCGTGGCTCCGAGGCGCTCCCGGAAACGCTCGGTTCGAGCGTCTGTGGAGATTCTCAGTCATCCAAGTCCTAATTGTCTCAACGGTGCCTTTTTTCAAAAGGCAACTGGACTGGGGTTTTTTTTCCCCCTTGAGGAAGACATTTAGCTTCTCATCCAAGAAGCTTCATCGGTTCTGGCCCGATGGATGAGAAGCAAAACATCTTCCTCACAAGGAAAAAAAAAAACAAACCCAGTCCAGTTGCCTTTTGAAAAAGCACCTTTGAAAAAGCTGGATTCGAGCGCATCCAAGAACTGGTCGAAACGCACCCTCTTGCCTTCCAGGGTCCGAGACAACAGGAACTGCAGCCACGGCTACAGAACTTATACTGTAATTGCACTTCTCTGGAGGGTGGCAGGTCAGGCAGGGGAGATGCGTTACTTCATCCTTTCTCCTATTATCCAATTTAAATGAAGGATTGGGAGTACGTACCGTGCTTTTACGGTTGGTTTAGCCATGATTTATTAAATAAACCACGGTTGGGGTGTATAAGATGCTAGCTCATCGTTTAGCGTTATGGTATCTGCTTGCCAGATCGCCCACAGTTGGTTGTTTTTGCTACGGTTACTAATAATTGCAGTTAATGACATACATCTTCTCCAGAAGACTAAATTGTTAACAGAATGTTCAACGAAGGCAACAATCTTGTGGCACCTGAACATATTATGCTGTGAGCATTTATATTGTTTAAGTTTTCATATTGTTTGCCCAGGCAGCTGGGCAAAAATCAAGGGAGCAAGCCAGCACAGTTTTCAATAAATAAGCTGGGAGAGATAAATACAGAATCTTGGAAAGTGTATCTCTTTGAATACTTTGAAAAGCTTCTTCCCAGACTTTACTCCACCTGTACCGACTTGTTGCTTATGAAATAAACTGCGAAGTGATTTGCCCACTCTCCATTTTCAACCATTGTGTTTCCGTCCTTGCTCAGCCTTCCGAAAATTTCTTGTACATATGTGGTAGTTGAATATCAGAGCCTTTGATTTATAAATACGTGTACACATATACTATTGCAACAACTCATACTTAACACTTGATAATTGTATTAGTATGATTTTCTGTGCAATGGTGGATTACCATTTTTTTCTGGGATTTTTACAATTTCCCAGTCCAGCATCCAACTTTGGAATTATTTGAAAATCGGTCATTCAGTTACTAATCAAGTCCAACTCTGCTTAGCCGAATTCAAGATCAGCCAGTAGTTACTAGGATCAGTTAGCTACTGTGACATACAAAACAGTTGCGTATTTATAAGTGAAGGAGCACTGATGTAGAGAGCTTGGGCAGATAAAATCTGGGAAATTACATTTTTCTATGTCTTTAACAGCATATTTATCAGGTGCAACTTCTGGTACACAAATACAGGGATGGATAAGATTCTTTAAAGGTTAAATTTCTATCCATCATTGACCAAAGCTAGAGAAAAAAATAGACAACCTTATCTGGTTTTGTGCTTCAACCGAATTGCCTTTATTGTAATATAAAATATTCATTTGACTAAAATCTCAGATAACTTAAAAGACATTTTGTGTGTTTCAACTAAGTAGTCTGAAACAAAAAAAAAGTTCTGCTTCTTGCTGGATGATGAATTTATCATTGAATGAATACTTTCCTTGTCATTCCAATAGTGCTGGTTCTTGCTTCCAACTATGCAAGAAATCCTTCCTTCCTTTGCATGGGACCCAGATGCTCTAAAAGATGGAAATTCACTGAACAGTAAGCAAATTGCTATGCAGTGGAAAATGTAAACTATGAGAGGAAATGCCAGGCTATTTCCCAAGGGTGTTTAAAGAAATGGCCCATCAAGAAACTCCATATTATTCAGTGGGACCACAAGCATTTTCCAACTGAAGACTGAATAGACAATTGTGGAGGAACTAATAGGACCGATTTGGACTGTTCTCCTTGTCTCAAGATAGGAGAGATTCAAGTTTCTTTCATACCTCTTTAGAAAGAGTACAATGTGATAACTGCTAATTCAAAAGATTGTGCTAGCAAATAACCAATCAGTAGCCCAGTTAATTTCAGGACAGGCTTGAAACTGTACTATTGCCAAGACACTAAGCCAGTGATACAGAGCTAAACATAGCCCACCAACATCTCTTATGTAGTACTTTTGCAAAAAGGATGAGATTGAAATGTTTAGTCTTCTTCTCTTTCTCCTTTTTTGGAGTTGGGGAGAAATGATGGGGGGGATTAAGAGACAAAATACATCTCTTAAATTTGTCTTAAAGCCTTCTTTTGATATTTTTTGAACATTTTCCCATAAAATGGATGATTTCTCCTCTGTTTTGGGAATGCAGTTTTCAGCATGCTGCACAAATCTTGGTTTGACTCACAGATTGATAGAAGGTGTATATTCCTGAGCTAGGCTAGTGAAAATTAATTAGAGTTTCAGAGTATCTCACCAAATTGTTGATGGTTTTTAATTATAAAACTTACAGCAGGTGGCATAACTTAGCTGATCTTGGATGATTTTGAAAAAGCTAGCTAGATTGGACACGTTTAGTAATGATGGGAGAACCACCAGAAAAATAGTGTAGTTAATGGGAAGTTAAGGAAAAAATCCAGAAAAAAGCCATGGAAAATAATTTTTGTACTGTTGCCATCTCTGATTTCTGGTATTCCAGCTTTTATCAGATAACTACTCTGCTTATTCATGGATTTTTGTTTGAGCGGATCCATGCACATGTGGATCACCAATCTGCGGTGACAAATTTTCCCCTTATTATTTCTCTCTGTGCAGAATAGCTGTCTTTCGATCAACTGCACTTCTGCCTTTTGCCTGCAAACCTCTTAAAAGTCACTGGTTGTAAAAAGGCCTTGCAGCTTTCATAACAGGAAGGAAAAGCTTTTATCCCACAAAGCCAGTCCTTTTTTTTTTGTCATAGAACGCACCAGAACAGTGTTCTAGCACCTTTTTTTTTGACGGATTTGCCTTAAATAGAATAAATTAAATTTATATTAAGAACTGAATATAGTTTTTTAAATAAAAAAATAACAAGATGTGAGTTCCGACACCTTTTTTCTTACAAAAATAGCACTGCACAAAGCTAATGGGGCTTCATCCCCTGATAAAAAGCAGGATTCACTGCTAAACAGAAAAATGCCTGGACAAATTTAGGTCCAGGTTTCCTACCTACTAGATCCTGTCATCCAGCTAAAATAACTAGAGACCTAGCTCAGTTTCGTAGACACTTTGGGACAAATTATATGGATTGGGAGTATGCTGCGATGAAGGAATGATCAAGAGACGAACACTATATTATAACAAATATTCTAATTTCACAAACGGAAAACTCAGTTCTTTTTCATATCAAGGCCGGAATTCTCTAACATGTTTTGATTCTGTTTCAGGAGGAAGGCAGAAAGCATATGTTCATTTTTAATTGCATTTTTTCTGCCATTCTTGAATTAATTGAGAGGAATGCCAATCTGTTCTAATAACCTTAATTTATGTGCTGATCATGTATTGGTAATACAGCATTTTTTTAAAAAAAATATTTTCTCTTTCCTTTTTCTGGCAACTTGTTAACAACTCTTCCAAGGGCCCAATGGGCAAAACCAGAAATTAATTTCTAATCAGAAAGATGACAGATGCCATCTTATCCAAAATCTGTGTGAAAAGATAACAGTATGATAAACTAAAAACAGGTTGCATTATGCCTACTGGTGAATTCTGTTTTCACTTACACAGAGGTCACTACTGTTGGGGTCATCAAAATATTTACGTGTTTGGGATTGCGGCTTATGATGTTCCATCAAAATGCATTGTAAATTGGCTGCTTTTAAAAGAAAGTATTACTGACAATCTCATCCACCTTGGGTGAAAATTACTGTAAGGATCCATTTATTTTTATATCACTAGCATATGAATCCAAGCCACATTTCCTAATACTTTTTTCTCCCTCAGATGATCTGCACTGTGAGTGCAACCCAATAGCTGTTATTATGGTTTGTTACACAGTCAGCTAGATGTTCAGACTGGATTTGGCATTTTTATCCACCTTCCTCAGGACCCGAGGTAGGCAGGTGTTGATGTTTTGTGGTGTTAGAGGCATAGTCACAGGATGTAAGCTGTTCCAAGTAAAGTTGCCTTTTGCAATTGACTGATGGTGAATTTGTCAATGCCAATGGTGTTCAAGTGATGTTCCAGTTGTTTTGGGATGGCATCCAAGGCACCTATTACAATTTAACAATGTTTATACTATTAATATTGTTATTATTGCCCTGTTCAATAATATGTTCCTCCTGATCAGGAAATCTCAGAATTAGCAAAACATTTCAGGTACCCTCCTACATCCCAGCAGTTAGAGCAGAATATGATTTCTTGCAGGCAGTTATAAAGGACACTACCAAAAATAGAATAAACACCCTGGGCTTTATGACTTTTATAAATGAAGCAAGAGTTTCATAATTCTACCTCTGAGGCATTTTCCTCTCCTTTTCTTGCAATATGGTCTTTCTCCTGTAGAACCTGACTCTAACTATATAACATAGACTGTTTACACAGCAGCATTTAGTGGCAAGATCAAACTTGCTGTAACAACTATTCTTTCCATGCGTGTAGCCTGCTATTTTTTGCAACTATTCTATAGAGGGTTTAGTCAATAGCAAGTACAAGTTTTGTTGCCCATCCTTATAACAGGCTGAAAAGGCAACTCTCAAAACCCATATGCGGTGCTCTTCATCTTCCATTCAGCTGTGAACATGCCACATTCACACATACAAATGGACCAGTCATCCAAGATTGGAATCAGACTTATTTGTGCTTTAGTCCCATTTCAAACATTAATCATACCTAGGTAAATCATGCCTAACATAAGAAGGTTGACTTCAATAGCTTTCTAATTATGCCTTCAGATTTTCAGGCACAATGGCTGAAAATTAGTGGTAGGTTTTTTCCCAATCATTTTAAAGTAAGAAACAGAGAAAAAATATGGTGTATTCTAAATAGCTTTTTTTTTAAGGGGCACTTCCCTGTTCAAATAATCTGGTAAAAAACCTTTTCAGAAAATCCTGGTCCCATTTATAAATGTAGTTAAGTTGGAAAGGTCATCAATCACCAACCTATTGCAGCCCTCATCTCCCCAATAATTATGAACCCTGAACGCTAAAATTGCTCACCTCTGGATTATGCCATGGCCACAGCATACTTGCTTAAATAAAAAATGAATATATCCTGGGAACCCAAAAGAGGTTGCCTGTCTGCTTTATGTTTCCAGTCCTGCCACCATGCAATGAACTTCTGTTGGCAGATTGGTGAGAACGTTGCTTTGCAGTAAAGGGCACGAAAGGATCACCTGAGTTCCCCAGATGCAGGAATGCAAGAGAATCAGCCATTAGGAGAAACAATGGTTCTCGCCTTGCCTTTTAGATCTTTTCTCAGGAAGCATCAGCAATTCTACCATAATGCAGGGAGGGGGATGCTAGGCTTCTCCCTAGGGCAGGGATAGGGAACTTTGGCTCATTTATGACTTGTGGCCTTCAATACTCAGAATTCCTGAACCAGCCATGCTGACTCAGGAATTCTGGGAGTTGAAGTCCACAAGTCATAAAAGAGCCAATGTTGCCTACCCCTGCCCTAGGGCAAATAGGCAGCTGGTTAGACACACTTGTAGAAAGCTCAGCAAGTTCATTCCCATTTGAAAAAGAGAGCTGCAAGATCTCTCCATCTAAGTACATTGTGTTAACTGTTCAACCTCTTCCCCGTGACCGAACAGAATCTAACCCTCTGAATAGTTGGAACATCAAGACCATATATGATTGCAGTTGCTGCTTATTTGGGGTGATTTAATTTATTCTTGTTCCACATCTTCAACATGTTGTTTATCACGTAACTTTTGCTAAGGACTTTCTTGTGATGCTTTAAGTCAAGCTAAAACAAAACCTGCTATCAATGTTCAGTCTTGTTTTACTGCTAGATAAGCTTTTGTTTTGTTTTGTCAAGCCATTTGATAAACAACTAGCATGGCAATATATTCTTACAGGTGGCATTTCTAACACACCTTCTTTTTAATTGCATCATGTGTTTATCCTGGTTTTCTGCCACTCCTTAAATCAAGTATTAAACTTGAAAAAAAAGCAAATTAGTACTGTAATATTTGATAATGAAAACTCAGTTGAACTAATAGTGCCATGTTTAACTTATGTTACAGAATTCAATGTTAAACAAACCATAATTATTTGGGTTTATACATATTAAACCATAACATCGTAATGGCTGCACTCACACAGTGTAATAAATATATTGAAACAAGCCACAATATGGTTTGGAATATCCTGGATGCTTGGTCACAAAGTAATATTTTAACTGTCCACTGTTCTACCATTTTGTTGTTCATGAAATTTTATATAAAGTATTAATAAACATGCATTTACTTCTTGGCCCATCTTTTCTCCATTTGCAACAGTTTGATGTCCCTGAGCAGAACCCAACATTTTTGGAAAGGACCTTGCTTGTCCCATGAATTTACTAACCCTCCATATTACAGTAATGTATTTTGTTCATTTTCAGTGCTTGAGAAACAAGAGCCAGAATTCCACACCCAGTTTAGCTGTAGGGTTACTGGAGGCAATTAAGGTGTTTTTGTTATTTTTTTTTAATGTTAAGTATTTTTGCTTAAATTCTGCCAGTTCCCTGCCCTTCCAACCCCTGGGCTGTATTTTAAATCATTATTATAAGTAAGGATTACCCCAACAACTACAAAGTCATTTTCAATTCCCTTGTGGTTTATATATTTCTGAGCTGATGGAACTTCTTGCCCTTTTATCATTGGGAATAAATGAAGTAGCTGTTTATCACAGTAGAGCACAATTTACTAGTTTGGATGAGTGCATGTTATATGAAACTTGCACGCAGTTAATAATGTCATTTTAGTTCTCTACTTTGGAAGAAAAAAATATTCAGAACTGCTGACATTTTTCTTCCATGTCCAGATTTATTGTCACTCACTTCATAACCTCAAGACTAGAGGTCACACAAAGCTCCCTCTGATGAATGTTTGGAGTATACTGGCATGTTTCTTGACTATGAATGGATAATCGGAAGTACAACTAGTACTCTGGGTTTGAAACTGATTTTGCCACATACAGTACTGTTGTGCTTTCCACTGCTCTATACCTTAGAGAGAGCATAGGCTTTGTGCACAGAATTGGTCATCTCTAATGCTCATTTGAAATGTTAAGGAAAGAACAGGATGAGCACTGAGATATACCTGGTTAGTACACTGCATAATATAACAACAACAATAACAATAAAGTTGGAAGGGACCTTGGAGGTCATCAAGTCCAATCCCCTGCTCAGGCAGGAAACCCTATACCATTTCAGACAAATGGCTGTCCAGTTTCTTCTTAAAAACTTCCAGTGTTGGAGCATTCACCGCTTCTGGAGGCAGGTTGTTCCACTGATTAATTGTTCTGTCAGGAAGTTTCTCCTTAGTTCTAGGTTGCTTCTCTCTTTGGTTAGTTTCCATCCATTGCTTCTTGTCCTGCCTTCGAGCGCTTTGGAGAATAGCTTGACTCCCTCTTCTTTGTGGCAGCCCCTGAGATATTGGAACACTGCTATCATGTCCCCCCTCGTCCTTCTCTTCATTAAACTAGACATACCAAATTCCAGCAACCGTTCCTTATATGTTTTAGCCTCCAGTCCCCTAATCATCTTTGTTGCTCTTCTCTGTACTCTTTCTAGAGTCTCAACATGTTTTTTACATCATGGTGACCAAAACTGGATGCAGTATTCCAAGTATGGCCTTACCAAGGCATTGTAAAGTGGTATTAATATTTCACGTGATCTTGATTCTATCCCTGTTAATGCAACCCAGCACTGTGTTGGCCTTTTTGGCAGCTGCAGCCACACTGCTAGCTCATATTTAAATGATTGTCCACTAGGACTCTGAGATCCCTCTCAGTTACTACTATTGAGCAAGGTACCTCCTATACTATACCTGTACATTTGGTTTTTCTTGCCTAAATATAGAACCTTATTTTTAAGGCAGCTTCTTACCTTGGAAGGAAAGATCCTATAGTGGTTTAGAGGAGAGACAGTAGTATATTAATAGAGCATTTGCAAAACATTCAGACATAAAAAGCTCCAGGTCCAGGATGGACTTATACAGAAGCTTTATTTTCCCAATAATATTTTGGTTTATCCTAATCAGTTTTAGATTTTTTTTTATATGTTATCTGGCTGAAATTATTGAAAGCTGGTTCAGAATTGTTACAGGAAAAAGTTGTTATGGTGTAAAGTTGGGATAGAATCTGATAGAAAGATGAATGGGGAAAAGTTTGGCAAGAGTGTCCTGGATAACATTGTCCTGGTTCCATAGTTAGGAACTGTTTTGATAACCCTGTACATGACTACATTTTTATTCAATTTAGTAAATTGAATATCAATTAGCATAAGAAACAGAAATGTTTTGTAGAGTTCAGGAAAATAAACAAAAAGGACATCTGTTCCAAAAGACTAAAATCCTGAAGTTGGAAAATGTATTCTGAAACCAGGGAACCAGAACAACTGGCAACAGGCATCTGTACAATTGTTAAAATCGTGTTATCATACTGATGAGGCACCAACCTAACCACTCCAATCTGCTACCCCCCACAATTGTAGGGTACAACACTCTTCATTTCAGCAGATGAAAAGAGAAAGGGCTTTTGAACTTTAAGAGCTGTGCTAGCACAGTGGTTAGAATGCAGTATTGCAGGATAATTCTGCCTACTGCCAGGAGTTCGATCCACACCAGTCAAGGTTGACTCAGCCTTCCATCCTTTCGAGGTTGGTAATATGAGAAGCCAGAATGTTGGGGGCAATATGCGGACATTTGTAAACTACTCAGAGAGTGCTGTGAAGCACTATAGAACTGTGTATATAGGTCTAAGAGCTATTGCTGTTGAGCTAGGAGCTTAGGGCCAATGAGTCACTCCAAAATCTAGTTGATGTCACTGCCTATTTCAGGATGGAAGATTTGATGGGTGCTGTGTTTAAGGAAAGTGAAGTTCTAGGGACAAACTGTCACCACATAATTTAATGATACACAGAAATAATAAATACCTTATTAATGCTATTATCCATTATTGTGGACCTGTACGTTGGCCATAAATCTTATAATTATTCTCAGAAAGCAGTTGTTCCTAATTTGAGCTATGATTATCTTAAGCTCCTGAGCAACCAGATATTTTCTTCACAAAAGCCTGTGTGGCAGAATAACTTTTAATTAACCCTTGCTTGCATTCATATCGATTTTAATTACCTAAAGATTTTAGTGGTGCTTTGGGTCACTGAGAAATTTATGAGATTAAACTATATGTGATTCTTTAAAAAGTGCATATATTCACATACATATAATTTGTACATTTTTACTGTATACAGGGTTTTGATAGCAAAAGCAAAAGAATCTAACACAAAAGAACATTCAATAAAAAGGAATGGAAACTATAATTTATCTAAAAATGTATATTCAAATTTGATCAATAGTTAAATAACAAAAGACAAAATATATCCATCTTGATCCAACTGAGTCAAATATTGATGACTCTTTGGCAAATTCTTAGAAAAATCCAAGGGAGCCCAAGAATTTCATCAGTCTTGCTATCTGCCAGATTTCCTTTTCATTGTCCTTTCCTCAACACATAACTTGAAATTCAGATGCAGAATGGTGTAAATAATATGGAAGATGATTTGTAGCTCTCTCTCTCTCTAGCATCATCTTTCTGCATCCTTTAATACAAATCCAAAGAATATCATAAAGTTTTGTTGCTGAGTAGAAATAAGTACATTTCCAAACACCAGAACAATGAAATAGGCACTTTGTATGCTCAGAAATCTTAACAAAAAAACAGCTGCGTTTACACGATACAATGGCATCCATAGAGAAGAGGGGAAGGGATGTCCTTGCATATATCATTGTATCATTTCTCTCATTGTGGCTTCTTATGGATACCTATGCATGAAAAATTAAGAATTAATTATGATGAAAGGACTCAGCCAACTGAATATAACCCAGGCAACATATGAAATCTTGGCTGACTTGGGGTTTAATAATCCTCCACTTTTAAAATATTATTTCAATAACCTTTGGCTAGTCAATATTTCCTGCTCAGTTTTTTTCGGTTAAATTGTAAACAACACAGAAAAATCCTGGAACGACAGGATTTCCACAAAGGACCATAGGTAAAGATAATTTACAAGAAGTAATGATTGTGTCCTGTGGTTAAATTATATCTTATTTGTTTCCCACATACAACTAGCAGGGGGGGGAGGAGAGGGGGGACAAGAAGCAGCAGAGATTAAATTAAACAGCCGCCTATCTGTGTCTAGAACCAGAAAGCAAGATTAACTTTCAGATTAACCCTTCCATTTAAGTCCAGATAAAATAAGGATTAATGTAAACAAGATCAATCAGAGTAAACCTTTTACTTACTTACCTTTTACAAACCTTGATTCCAACTATAAATAAATTATTCCATGGTAACCATTATTTGGTCTACAGTCCAGGTTCAGATGATGTGGACCTAATGAGAATTTAATTTGGGATGCCATGTGAATATAGTCATCTTGATGCTGTTTTATCCTCATGTGCTCAGTAGTACAATTTACTAAGTTTGTGGAAGTGTAGTAAAGATGGAACATGGAGAAAAAATAAGATGGTAGATAAGAGGGCTAGCACAGAACTATTAAAAGCCTGACTCATGATAGTTCAAGAAGCCCTCCTTCTTTTGTACTAATTTGTGAACTAAATAGCCTTATTACAAGAAATTCACAGAAAAGTCAGTCTTAGTGATTTAAACATAATGTTTCCTAGTAAGTGTGCAAAGCCTTAAAGTAGTCTGAGCCTTCTACTAGTAACATAAGGATACTGATTTATGTGATTATTTTTCTTAGTTAAAATGAATGAAATATTATGTATGAACACTGCATAAATATATCTTTATATAACCCTGAAATCTCTTAATTTGGGATAGATTTGGGGCAACTGGATGGAGGCAAGCATTTACTGGCTGGATGCCCTTCCTGATGCCACGCAGAGTTTGCAGCAGATATTTTGTTCTTTGCACCCTAAGAGAGAAACATCTTCGGCTACCTAAGATTCAACTCTCAACTTTCTGAGTGGGAGGTGAGTGTCTTCACTCCTTGGCTACCATGCTACTCGTATGAACACTGTATCAATATTAATATTCATATCAATTATTACCAATATTATGAGATTAGGAATGGATTGTCCTTTTTTAAAGCTATTATGGTGGCTCTTGTTAAAAGTTAAAAACTTTTTCTGACTTACAACTAAGCATCAATTATTGATCCAGCTAGTATATGATATGATGATAAATTGTTGCAGTATTTTTTTCCATCATTGTTAATCAGGATTCCAACTCTATGTGCAACTCCCCACTTGTAACTCAGTGACTGCTATTTGCAGGCTGTCAGAATCCAGATTATTAAAATGTATTTTTGTTTGCAGTTAGAATGGATCTATAATATCCTACAAAAATAAACTAAAAATAAATCAAGCCATACAAAGATATTCCCCAAAACTATTGTTGGAATAAATAGAGCATATTTATCATTGCGGTGTGAGCATATTTATCATTGCGGTGTCAAGCCTCAAATGTTTGTCTAAGTCAGTGGTTCTCAACTGTGAATGACCATTTCACGGGGGGGCCAAACCATTTCACAGGGGTCGCCAAACAACGCAGTCCGCCATTTTTTCCCCTTTTCCTTAGCTGTGCTACTCTCTTTTATTCTATTGGCTTTTGAAAGCCAATAGAATAGACTCTCTTGAATAGAGTCTAATTCTATTGGCTTTCAAAAGCCAATAGGAATTGTCCAGGCTGTCTCTGCCCTGCTGAGCCCGCCAAAAGTCCCATTCTGCAAACGGTGCTGCACCAGTTGAGTAGTCCTCAACTTACGACCGGTTGAGTAGTCCTCAATTTACGACTAGTTGGGGGTCGCGGCATTAAAAAGGCTGAGAACCACTGGTCTAAGTAGTGTTTGCCACATGGTAATATTTATTTCAGATATTTCCAAAGGCAGAAGGTGCAAATCCAATTCTACTTTTCTCCTGTTGCTCTAGGAGTGAAACAGATTCACATAGATATTTTCCAGAGTTCTGGGGCTATGATTCTCTTTGCATATGTATAACTCTTTATAAGTCTCTGAGGAATATTTATTTATTCAATTTCTATAGCATCTGTTATAGCAATGTTAACATCTAAAAGGCACCAGTGACAGCTGTTTCTGTATCTTTGATTGGCAACATAATGTGCAAACCAACTTCAATGAGAAGGCTGCATAACAAGAGAATATGAACATTTTGCCTGCAATTTAAATTAGCGATGATCCATTGATAAACCAACCATCTCCTGATGCTGCAGTCTTTGAGCAATAGGTATGAATATTTACTATGAACCAGACCTAAAATCTAAGTCAAGAGGTTCACATATTAAAAAAAACCCCATGAATTGCTTTATTAATTATATAAATTCAATGAATATAAACATTTTAAAAGAAAAAAAAAAGGCCATGGACACAGGCTGAACCTTTAAAATATCCATGGCACTTGTTTAAGTGAAAAATTAACAAGCTTTAGCAACATGATTTTCGTAATCTATTCTTTCCCTAATGACAGTGTCCCTATTGATATCACTGAAAAAAATAAACCAAATACACGACTTTGCAACTAACAACAAAAGCTTTTTCTCGGTTTTTCTGTGTAAACTTCATAAGTTCCCAGAGGTATCGGCACCACAATTTGAGCATTTAAATTGTCCCAGATACACTATGGATACAGTAGTGCAGTTTAATGGGAACAAACCAGTTCTAATAAATACTGTAAGAGCTGTAGAATTATTTTATTAAACATGAAAACTACACTTCTGAACATTGTAAAAGCACTTCTGGCAGCCAAATTTTTTTAAATACCCCTCAGTCACATGGCTGCATTTCAAGTGCTTAGCAACTGGTTCACATTTACAACTGGTTGCAGCATTCTGCAGTCATGTGATCATAATTTGCAATTTTTCCCCCCAGTTTCCAGCTAAAAATGTCTGTTTGAGAAAATGGGTTAATACATTTCAGTTAGCAATCAGTGTAAAACCAGTTGTAAAATCGGGTTTGGTCATGTGGGTGCCTTGACTTACAATTGGTGGGCCTTATGATTGAAATCCCAGTCCCAATTATGCTTGTGAGTCAAGGACTACCTGTAGAAAGTCAGTTTAAGGAGAACATAATACATATCTAAATCCAAAATTAATATATATTTAGTATCATTGACTTGCAAAGGAGCTTATAATGATGCTATGATAAATGAACAATGAATTATTATACATATATTCACCCTTTGTTTTTTAGTGTTGCTCAGCTCAATTTACCGATAGGTACCATTGCTGGAATCTTTATCAGAGCTTCCACATTCTAGAGGCATCTATGGGAAGCTTGTCTCCAAGTATATCCAAATACTATTCACATGTACTGTAATGGTGAGTCATCCTGTAGTTTACTTATTCTTTGTTTGAGTGACATATAAACCTGTTCCAAGAAACTCTCCATGATGTTTGGCCAAAACTTTCAATTTGAAATCATAGTTAAATCAGTTTGTGAATCCTGGCACATATTAACCATCACAAAGCTGTATGCAAATCCATAATCTTACCTTATTTTGGGTTTGTTATACTCTGCTCATTTCTCCTGAGTATTGACACAAGAAATGGAGAAAACAAACTAGCAATTGGCCCTGAGTACTTTCCTCCTCTTCTAAACCGTGGTCAGAATATGTCCTGGTTTATGGAATGGGACAACTCACTACAGCCAACTCACAGTAGCCAACTCATCATGGCCAACTCACCATGGCCAATTCTTCACAAGACAATTCAATTCAATTCAAATACAAAAGTTAAATTAATTTCAATGGAACAATGGCCAATAATAATAAAATAAAATCAATCCTGAAATATAAGACTTACAATAAGTCTGACAAAAACATGATCAACAATAATAAAAGTAACTGAATGAAATGATTAATACAGGGTTGAATTGTACTGCGGTGAGTTGTTCCACAGCAAATTGGCCTTGGCGAGTTGTCCTAGACCAGTGATAGCGAACCTTTTAGAGACCGAGTGCCCCCAAACCACCCCTGCTCTGCCTGCTCTGCCCTCGCCCATCCCTTCCCCCACCCCGTCCCTGCCCCCGCCTGCCTGCAGGGCCACCCACTGCCTCCACAGCCCGCCACAGCGCCATGGCAGCCTCGCCCTCCGCCCACACCCCGCATCATCTGCATGCAATGGGGAGCAAGGGCAGAGTCTTCTCCCTGCTGCCCAGCTGCCATTTTCTTGGCTGCGCTGTGTGGACCGTGCCTGGTGGTGACTCTCCTCCGGGGTGCTGCTGGTGCAGAGGGGGCCATGGGTGGACATGGGGCTGGGGCGACAGCAGGTGTACCCACAGAGAGGTCTGAGTGCCACTTCTGGCATGCGTGCCATAGGTTTGCCACCACTGTCCTAGACCCCTTAGTTTATGTGCAAATGCAGCCTTAGTGCAAGATAAGAGAGAACCTTTCTGGCTATGGAACAGCTATTAAAAATTCTCCCTGGAAATTTGGTGCTAGCATTTTCTTATCAGTTTGAAATCTTAAAATGCAAGCATTTTAATTTGGATTATCTTAATTGTACTAATATATTTGATAATCTTGTTTTTATAGCAGATTCATTGTGTTTTTGTTAAATAGTATATAACGCTGATTATACCTACATATTGTCTTGCTTTTTGTTTTTTTAATTTTAATTTTGTTTATAGTATTTTAATTTTTAAAAAAGTACGCAAGCAATGAAGATATTTGGTGATGGCAATGATATAATATTTTAAAAAAAAGTTTACTGAGAATAATCAAATGCAATATGAACATTTTCTATTTTTTTAATGCTCCCAAGATCTTACAACCAATCCATCATGACAGAACAGGGGCAATTTCAATGGAGTTTATCCGGAGAACAGTTTGCGGCTGAACGACAACTGAAAAAAAAAATGAGAAAATTCAATTCAGGACTTTGCTTTTCAAGTGAATTACTTTATAAGTTGCCAAAGAGAGCTAAATGATTCTATGACTGATCACAGAATTTATATCTTCAAGGTTGCTTGTTTGTGGTATTGAGAAATGAACCATCACTTTGGAAGAAACTGCTTTGTTAGAATAACATCAAAGTTTGTTAAAATACATTGTTTCACCATGTTAATATATATAGAATCAACATGCTATTGGAAAGGAACTGTCTTGCTTTAAAAAAATTTAAATGCAGTGAAATCTAAATCAGGTATAATTAAAGGGTACTGTTGCTAAAAATCCAATAATCTAACAGCAACTATGCAACATTGGCTGATTTCTGATATCTAAGTAGGGCTAAACTTAATTTTTGAATATGAGACTACTAGGAAATTATCTGAAGGACCATCTTTCACAGTTACATCTACTCAACTCACAAGAGTGGGGAGGCAGGGTCCCCTCCATTAAGGGCCTTCTCGGTGTTAGCTCCCTCCCAATGGAACATTGTCCCTGCAGAGATAAGATTGG